AAAAGAAGGATCTGCTCTTAGGTTCCTGGCCAGAAAGCACACTGCCAGGAGTCAGGTTGCACCAACTCAGGGGTGACGTGTGTGGGTGTGTTCCTGGTGTCACTTTTATGTTAGTGGAGAAAATCAAATGAGCAGACACATGCTTCTGTCCTGACAGCCAAAGGAGAAAAAATGAGTCACAAAAGTAGGGACTGTCTTCCTCAAATGCTCAGAAATCAGTGCCTGAAGAGTCAGTTATTTTTAAGCACTCATCAGTTTAAAATACAAAGGATCTTCACAGCATTCTCTGAAAATGTGCATTATTATGGAACCATGCACGATTCCCAAAAAAACAATGTGTTCTAAAATAAGCATTTGAATTCTATTTCCCCACAAACCACTTGAAGTATCCTTATATTTAGTTAATCCTGCAGGGTAGGTACCTGTTACCATACCATTTTACAGATGATGGAAAGCAAGGTAGAAACGTAAAGAGGAAGCTATTGAGTAGATGAGCCAATATCTGACTCTAGCAGTGAGAATCCAAGCTGGGGCTTCACCATTGCACATATTGGCAGGTGCCTCAGTGCCTGTAGGAGTCACAAGTGCAGTGCAAACAGTGATGGTGTTCTGTTATACATAGGAAGGAAAGAGAAAGATAGGCTCAGACGTATTTGTGTGGGGGCATTTGTCATGTCACCCCACCAAGCCTACATGCAACCAGACACTGTTCAGACACTCTTGAAAAGGCAAAGGGTGATACAGACAGCAGCCTATGCATGCTCAGGAGCCTGGAATAGAGAGGAAGTGACAGCACAAAGCTGGCTCCAAGACCTTAGGATGTGGCACACAGGCTTGCCCTCACACTGTCCCTCAACCCTTGGGAATTCAGGATCTAAGCTCCTGGAAAATGCACCAAGAAGATGTGGAACTGAATTGAGGAAGACTGTTCTTTGCCTTCCAGTAGAGCACAATGTCTTCTGCACGTGGTTTTATAATGCATGAATCAGCTAGGTAAGCAGTTTAATGAACATTCATCATAATTTTCAAGGTAACTTTTACCATTTGTTTGTTATAAGGTTCCCTGCATAATGAATTGAACTTGTGTTGGACTGGATACAGCAATGGTTTTAACTGATTTGGAGCAATGACCTTTCATTGAAGCAGCTTGTCTCTGAATAGTTTCTTGATGGTTTCTACTCACCAAACCTTGATAAAACCAGGGATGCAACCAGGGTACAGAGAAAGCGCACAGCCCTCGGAGTCGAGGCTCCTTGGACAATATGCAGAAGGCATAGGGCCCTGCTCTAAGGCTCAGCTGTTCTGCCTTTGAAAACAGAGTGATATGTCCATTGTAGAATCAATTTCAGGGAACAGAACACAGCTGCTGGAGCCAGACAGCCTGGCTTGGGATCCCAACTCTGCTCTTCACTGTCTGGGTGACTTTCTGGTCTTGGTTCCTCTTTTCTGGGAAAAGGGTCAGTATTAATACCAATTTAGGGGGGTTGTTATGAGGATTTAAAAACCAGATTTATATTGCCTGACACACATTTAGTAGTATGTGAACACTCAGATGAATAAAAAAATATGGAGGTCAAAGTTCAAAGGATTATTGTAAGATGAGGGGGAGGATCAAGCAGAGGATGCCAATGGGAGCACTTCCTACATCAGCAACACAGACAGGGCAGCCAGGGGGCAGGTGAAATGAAAACACTGTGACTTTTCTCAGGAGACTCAAATGAGATTGCGTAACATTTTGGTGTACCCTTCTCCTCTCTGGCTTCTCTCTCTCTCTCTGCCCCCACCTCCTATTCAGTGCCATGGGAAACCAGGCACAGACTGTGAAGTTAAATTGCTTCAGAAAAGCAAATTCCTCTCGGGACAGAACATTTCAAAGGAAACAGAGGACCCTGGTTCTAAGCTATTTCACTGACTATGACCATCATCAAAGAGGAATTTCACAGTAAAATGGGGTCTGTCTTTAACCTCGACTTCAAGGAAGCTTTCCAAGTTGGAGAAAGTCACTTATTTTTTAAAAATAGAAATTAAAGCCCCATCAGAATAGTTTCAAAGTATACAGTGCCTTTCTAATTGAGCTCCAATATATTTCAGCAACTTTCTGAAAAATCCCACTGCCCTAGTTTTATGCTCTTGCCAAGTCTGGGTATTTTTGCACAAGTGTATCTTGTATAGAAAAGCTACTTAAAAAAAAAACCCAGATACTTTAATGCCTCCTAAATGCCACTTGAGCACTTATCTCAATAGACGAGCACTTGATAAAAAGTGCTATGACCCAAGCAGTTGTATAAAATAGGATTTCATCCACCAGAGGCAGAAGAGGAAATACAATGCAGCTCAACTATCGGCACACAGCACTAGCAGTCTTTACAATGCAATGGACTTGAGGCTGAATAAATGTCACACAATTTCCACATCTTTAAGAAATATGTATTAACATGTCTGATCTGTACAAATGGACAAATATGAAGCAAAATTATAAAATAATTATAGTCATTTCAGTAGTGTTATGACCAGAAAACATTTTCCCAAACATTGGCCCTCAGATGACTAGAAGCCTTACAGAAGATCCCACTTCCAGGGCAGGCATGTGGTCTGGTCTGATAGGCAAGGTGCCCATAGTCCACATCCTGGCTGCAGTCGCTGGCTGCAGCTCCTGCTAACGCATCGGGGAGGCAAACGGGATGGTTCCACGGATTGGATTCCTGCTACTCATGTGGCAGACCTGAATTGAGTTCCGGGCTCCCCACCTCATCTTAGCAGCCATTTGGACAATGAACCAGAGGATAAAAGCTGTCTGTATCTGTCTCTTCTCAAACAAACTAACAAATAACATACCAATCATGGTATCAAAAAAACCTCATTTTTTTTTTAAACCCTAATTTCTTAAACCAGAGAATGTGAAATGAACAAGAAGACAAAAACAAAAACTGTCGAAAGACCTGCATCTGATTTCTGCTCCACCACTGAATAGCCTTCATGATCTTGAGTGTCCCTGTGTGCCTTGGTTTCCCCATCTATCAAAGCAGATTGGTGGAGTAAAGGACTAGTATGTTACTATCCAGGCCTTATGGGCGTGACCCTCTGCTACACCTGTCCTCATTCCTGTGATTCATACAGTCCTCTTAACTACGCTGAAAAGTCCTCCAAGGCTATAGGTACTTGACTATCAAAGCAAGCCCTTCCAAACAGTGGAACATCTCTTTGCCAAGCTTCTTTTGCTTCTTATTAGATCCTATAGATTCTCATGCTTAATATCCATCAACTAAACAGCATAAAAGTCATTAGGTACATGTATTTTATTCTTTCCTCCCATTGGTCAAAATCCAATTTTTACGCAAACTTTCTGGTCAAAATATTTCCTTACTTTTTTTAAACAAGCATTAGGCTTCTACTTTGATGAGAAGATTTGGAGCTATTGCTGTAAGTTACACAGAACTCCTCTGACATGCTTTGTCTTATGTTCATGTATTAAGATTCAAGGAGCTGAGCCTGGCACGGTAGCTGAAGTCCTCGCCTTGCACGCACCAGGATTCCATATGGGCGCCAGTTCTTGTTCTGGAGACCCTGCTTCCCATCCAGCTCCCTGCTTGTGGTCTGGGAAAGCAGTTAAGGATGGCCCAAAGTCTTGGGACCCTGCACCTGAGTGGGAGACCCGGAAGAGGATCCGGACTCCGAGATCCTGGCTTTGGATTGGCTCAGCTCCAGCCATTGCAGCCACTTGAAGAGTGAAATCAGTAGATGAAAGATCTTCCTCTCTGTTTCTCCTCTCTGTATATCTGACTTTCCAATATAAATAAATAAATAAATAAATATTTTTAAAAAAGACTCACGGAGCTAAAAATGAATTTATTCCAGGTCTCCCAAGGGAGGGTTGGCAAAATTCACAAAAACCAAAACAATCATCTGATTTGTACCCCAGTACCCCAGATGAGAGACAGAAATAGAGATCTTTTCCCTGTGGCTACCGTTCAGGACATACTGATTTCAAAAATATTAATTGTGAACTGCCCCCTGCTCCTCACCCTCCTCCTCCTCCGTCAATTCCCTTACTGCCACGTTATTTATGAGAAGGAACTGTGTGACTGGTCACCACTTTTATTTGGGGGGAAGTTTAACTGGTCTGCCTGTCAAATTAAAAATACATTGATTATAATTCTGATGAAGAAAATCCCACTTCTGTTTCTAAACCAAAACAATGAGGAGTATTTCTTAAATAAGAAGAGAGAGAAAGCCAGGACTGAATTCTCACGGGTCAGATGAGAATGGGTTCTAAGTCATCACAAAGCCCCCATGCATGGTTTGGTCCCACACTTCCTTCAAAATAGGTGTCACCTGTTGGCTGAGGTCTTCTCTGTCCTGTGTCAACACAGCTCACTTGCTCACCTTTGAGTTCTCCCAGCCTTGACTGTTGCATCTTTCTCCTCTATCTGCTCTTACCACGAACTAAGCTTCCAGAGAATGGGGGTGGGAGGGTGGGGTGTTGTTTTATTTACAGAAACCTCTCCAGTGTGAAGAACAACACACACCTTGGGGATACAGCAGCAAATCATTTGCCAAATGAATCAATGTCAGAAGTGTTCTACATGAAGAAGGAAAAGTGACTTGAGAGTAAGCAGAAATTACTGCATCTATACCCTAGGTGCAGTGGAGAGAGCCATTTTAGCACATAGAAGTATTAACCACGCTGTCACCAAATGTTCTCCCAGCTCAGCCTCTGCAAACAGAAAAGTTCATTTCCAGTGCAAGGTTGTATATGTCTTTTTTAATTTTACTATCGAAACAGATGGTTTGATGTCTGACTCCGTCTTTATGAAGCAATGCAGATGATTTCACTGCCTGATTTTTGTGGCATCTCCATCAAGCACCATGCTTTACAGTTGAAAATGCTCTAACAGGACATCTTTTGACTCCAGCTGGCAGGGTTGCCCATAAAGGAAGGCACCTGCCTGAGCTACCTTGAACTCTAGAGTTGTTGTGTGACGGGACCCTGGGGTACTCACTGTTGGAGCAGGTGGCTTCTTTAGAACTGGATGACATTGGCTGTGCACAGAGCTGACAAAGACAGTCTCTCCCATTGAACGTGACTCGATCTCCAGGTGGGAACGGGCGCCTAGGGAAAGAAAGACACGGCCCTCTGGGTTATTCTCATGGTTCCATTCCTTCTGCTTGCTGCCCTCTATGGCAAATTTATTTCTTGGAGGAACAGCAGTCAAAGTGTCCGAAAAGCTGACATAACTAAGCCAGCCAGTTCAACAGAGTCCAAACAAATAAATGTGTCTCATTTTCAGAAGAAAAAATTGAATGTGTTGGTTTTTATGGGCATCCGGGCAGTACATGAGAACAATCTGCCTCCACTCAGTAGTAGAGGATGTTCCAACAAGTTACTAGCAGGCTGCAAAATATAGTGCATTTCCAAACGGAAAAATCTTCATGAAGAAGGAGCTTAAAGACAATGAATTACAACCAAAGCTTAGGGCTCCTCCCCACACTTTGCCCTGGCCATGCAAACATCTCACAGTGGTGCAAGTCCAGTCCCTTACAAGCTGTGAGCAACAGCTGTAATTATCGGTTTAAGAATTAGTAAAGGTGTCTTTCCAGAAGACAATTTCCTTCTTGTTACACACTTCTCTATAACAGCATGTTTCACAAAACTATTGCCTTCTGCATGGACGTTGCCCATTTCTCCTCCCAGTTCACTAGGGAAACAGCCTTCAACAATCAGTCATTAATTAGCAGACATATGACACATCCCTTCCATGCCTGCTTATCTGCAGCTGGCCCATTTTCCAGTAACTTTCATCAGCATGAATTTTCCAAGGCAGGAGGCTGTCAATCAGAAAATGCAAAACTCACAGGCCAAACTGCACAAATCTGAGTCAGAAGTAATTCCTTAGGAACAAGTTCAGGCTTTGTAACATCAGATGTCAAGTTCACAGCTACTTTCTCCCTTTCTGACATCCTTCCATAGCCCAACACTTGGTAATGAACTGCAATATGCAAACACGGGTAAATTCAAAAGTAAGACAGTCCCACAAACATACTTGGTGGTATCCATCAAAGAAGTGGCATTCTTATACTCTCAGATTTTAAAGTCTGTGTTACCTTCTGTTCTACAGATAAAGCACAGCTGGAATGACCAGCAAGGCAGGCTAAGGTGAAGATGGCAAATCCATCAGCGTAAACTTGTTCTACCTTTAAAAATCAGAATCACATTGTAGGAGAAGCTAGGGGCCTATGGTTTCACATTTAGTAATTAGGCCTGAGCAAGCTTCAATTCTGTTCTGTTAGGAGACCGGCAGGGAGTTAAGGGTCCATCAATACAAGTGCATGACCCTCTCCTCTGACCAGGGACAGGACCAGAGTTGGCCAGCAAGGTGCCAGGGGTACATTTCCAGAGGGGTTCACTCTGCTCTGACCAGGCACTTGCATGACACTGAGAATAAGTGTTTCCTTACTTTGCGCTCTTCAGACACCTTGCTTATCTCACCTGGCTATAGGTCTCATTTCTGATGCAAGCTTTTCTTAGGCCTGAATCCCACATGATTCTTTGTGGGACAAACCAGAGCCCAGTCCTAGGGCTGGACTTGACTTATTTGGGGGCCAGGCCTTCTGAAGTCTGAGTTATTCTATGAATGGCCCTTTTCAGTATTTTCCACTCTCCTGAGTCCTCTTGGCCAAAAGGTCTACTTTCTCCTGTTATCTGCATGAATGTTGGCTATGGAGAGAAAGCTGGAATCACAGCCAGAAAGCCAGAATTCATATGGTGACCATCTGGTGTGAGCCCGGGAAGGTCCCTTGAACGCTGACTCTGAGCCCCACATAAATGAGCAAGTGATGTTGCAGCATTGCTAAGAGGGTTAATTTAAATTGTTTATCAATATTATTTGCAAACCGTATGAGAAGTCCCTAATCTAGGTTGGGTTACTGTCACTGATTACTGGTTGAACATCCTTAAACTGAAAATCTGAAATGCTGCCAAGTTTGGAACATTTTAAGCCTTGACATGATGCTACAAAGCGAAATGTTCCATATCTGACCTCATGTGATGGATTGCAGTTAAAACACTAGCACACTAAAAATACTTTACAGGGACTGGTGCAATGGCAGAGCTAGCTAATCAATCACCTGCCATGCCAGCATCCCACATGAGTGCCACTTCGTGTCCTAACTGTTCTGCTTCCGGTTCAGATCCCTATTTATGGCCTGGAAAAGCAGAATTCAAGTGGTTGTGTTCCTGCACCCACATGGGTGACCTGGAAGAAGCTCCTCACTTAGCTCCAGGTCTGCTCAAGCTCTGGCTGTGGAGGCCATTTGAGGAGGGCACCAGTGGACAGAAGATTTCTATCTCTCCTTCTCTCTCTATAAAATCTGCCTTTCAAAATAAACACATCTTAAGAGAAAATCCTGTACAAAATTCTTTTTAGGATATCTGCAGAAAGTATATATGAAACATAAATAAAGTCGGTGTCCAGATTTGGGTCTCATTCCTAAGACACCTCATTCTGTAAACAAAAATATTCCAACAATTCAAAAACACTTTTGATCCCAAGCATTTGGATGAGGGTATGCACTGTGCGTCACTGATTGGCACCTTTTTGTTGCCTCCAGTGCTCAGGGACAGGGCTACAGTTAATAAGTGTTCGGCCACCATTACACTAACTCCCAGCTGATCACAGCCTGGAAACCCAGCCCAGGAGGCAGGGCTAGGACGTAGGTCTCCTCAGGGCAGCTTGCAGGCGCCCAACGAGGCCGAGAGCCCTGGCCCCGAAGGGAGACAACAGGATGGAACTTTGCCTTTGGTTAAATCAGAATCAGGTTCAGTTAATGGATCTAAAATGTTTAATTATGATTTTTAGTACAGTAATTAGCAAATGGGCTAATAAAAAAAGCTATTTAAATACTTTTATCACAAATATTTCACATTATAATTTATTCACCAGTATTATCAATTAATTACACAAAATCAAGTTGAAACTTGTAGAGTTTTTATCTCCTGGGCTTTCAAGTCTGAAACAATGAAAAGCAAAACACCCTTTCTGAGCTGTGCTTTTTCAGGAAGGAATAGTGAGAGGCAGCAAGAAGCTGACACTTATTGGTGAGTCTCCCTGTTAGAAGACACCGACTCACCCTCAGTCTGATGAAGTGCAGCCCCAGCAACCCAACATCAGTGAAATCCTCAGATCCTCCCGCCTGCACCTTACAGTTTCCTTCTCTCTGACTCATCATTTTCATCAGCTTAGTTTGTGCAAGATTGAACCATGGCCGGTGACAGGCAGCTCATGAACAGGAGGTGGCAAAACTTTCCCCTAAAAGATCAGACTGCAAATACCTTTTTTGAGGCTTCAAGAATTATATGTATGGTCCCACTCACAGCTATTCAGCTCAGCCAGTGTAGCTCAAAATCAGCCATAGACAATTTGCAAAAGGTGTGGCTATGTTCCAATAAACTTTCATTTGCAAAGACAGGCGCTTGGGCCTATTGTGGCCCAGGGGCTACAGTTTGCCAAGAACCTCTTACATAGTAAATAGACTATTTTAAACATACTCATTAACCCACAGACTCTTCTTTTCAAATAAACTTTGTCATTTTAAGCCATTGTGCCATTTCTCTCCAGCGTTTTCATTGGCCCAAACTTTTCAAGACTCAGAGCTACTTTTCTAGTGGTTTCCAGTCACTTAAAAAGAGACGTGCTAGTTAGTGGGGGACATCATGGTCTCACATTTCCCAGGGAAATTATTTCTTGAGAAAGATTAGAAATACTGTTGGGAGAGAAATAAAACTGAGAACACATCAGGCTATTCGAAACAAAAAGGGTCGATCTCAAGCTTTAGTGGTCGAAGGCAGCATTTCTTAGCTGCTTTGGAAAGACATTCACTTACTTGCAGATTGTACAAGCAAAGCAGTTAGGATGGTAGGTCTTGCCCAGGGCAGTCACCACCTCACCCTCCACAAACTCTCCACAGCCATGGCAGCGTGTCCCGTACATCCGCTGGTAGTCCAGGGTGCAGAGGTACTCCCCGTTCTTTATGAAGAAGCCCCCTTGGGCCAGGTCGCAGCCGCACACTGCAGAGACAAGTTCACAACTGGTCACCATCTGCCAAGTGGCTGGGTGGCAGCTGCCTTCTGCTGAATGCTGTTGCTTACTTGATGATCTCAATGGTTTGGGAAGAGGGGAGGGGACTGGTACAAAGAACCATTCATTGTTGGGCTCTGCTCTTTCCTTTGCCTCCCTCCCTGCAGGACCTATGCAGTATCTCACACAAGTAAATTCCACTTGCGAGGTCTCCATGGCTTTTGTGGTATGTTTAAGGTTTAGAGGTCATCAAGCAGTCTTTGATGGAAAGGTGCCCTTGGTTCAGACTGTCTCACCTGTGAGGAAAGGTGTCCTGGGCAGGGCTGTTTAGGAAAGGTGCCCACTACTTGCCAACACAGCTCCTTGGTCTGGGCCAAGATTGTTACTGAGTTGAGCAATAAATTCCTACTCTACCAAACACAGTAGCTGAAATTTCCAATAGTGCTTCTTTTTATACTCTGAAAGTATTTTCCCATAGCTATGAAAAAATGAAGACATTTAATTTTCTCTATACAGTGAAGAGCATAAGCCCAGCTTTTAAAATATTAGACAGAGATTAAAAAAAAAAAGGCTAAAGAGGAAGGAAAGAAAAGGGGATGACATGTCTGAGATAAAACATTCATGACCGCTGTGCACGCAAAAGAGGATGCTTTGTTCTGCCTGGGGTTCTGGTGTCTCCTTCAAAACGATGTGGCTGCAGATTACAGAAACAGTGTAAACAAGCAGAACTGGGGATGCCAGGGGCTTGGGGCTGATCTACATGTTCAGACACACCCAGGCAGGTCACAACGGGCCCACAAGTAAAGCCCAAGACAACTCCCTGGCAGCAAAGGACTGAGCAGGAGCAGCCAAGGCTGCTGAAACCTTAACTTAATCTGAAACCTTAACTTCTCTGTTCCTGAGGCTGAGAGACTCTCACTCTGTTGGGGGCCTTGGGCAATGAATCCAGGATTCTTCCTGATTCCCTTTGCAACTGGCTAGCACAGACACTCAGTTGCCAGGAGAGGGAACGGAGGTGGGGATGTGAGTTCAATCATGAAATTGCTTTCCTATAGAGCTGAACCCACTGGAACATTCCCCATGATTAGCTCCCATGACTCACTAATGCATTTGATGAACTAGTGATGAGCACAGCCAGAAACTGATGGAAGTAACTACGCCCCCATCCCAGCTAACACTCTTAACTAATCAACAACTACTAAAGATATTCAAGGTGACACAGAACCTGCTCCAGCTTTCCACTGTGGATTCAACAGTCTTTGTTTAGAACAACATTCCGTGGCAATGACTTCTCTGCAATTTACAACGAAGTAACCCAAGATGATGGCCTGGCTTCATCCTGCCTGAAACTGACCACCCTATAAATATTACTGTGATCATGCAACGTGGAAAACAGTTCGTTCGCCACCTGCTGCCTCCTCAAACCTGCCAATGGCTGTTCCTGCCCCCCACAGGTCTGACACCTGCTTTTTCCTTACCAGCTGAGCCCTATGGGTTGAGAGAATCCAAGAATGGACCACCCTTTGTCAAGCTGTAAATTCCTTTGACAACAAGAGACAAATCTGGGCATGGGTTAGGGGCCCTCATAATACACCTTAGGGAGTCTTCATCATATTTTGGTCTCTTTTCTACTTTCCTGCAAGATGACAAAAGAACTTTATGAGTAGGAGTTATCTTTACTTCTTTGGATTCTTTTTCAGGAACCTAATGGTATCTAGCAGAAGACCGTGAGCACAATATTTGAATTAAATAAAATCCTGTCTCAGATTAGGCAGGTTCCTGCCGATCCCACCACTCAGTGGAGTCATCCCTTGGGAAAGCTGTTATTTCAGACTGAAGTCTTTCTCAAAGTCAGGACAAGCAACAAAACTTGCATCTGGACTACTTAATTCTTTCCTACAGACTCCTAGGCTGGGGTTGAAATTCACAAAGCCTTTATAAAAAGAACTCATGGCCATAGGAGATATAATCTTCATGTTAACACAGCTGGTGAGACAGTTTCAAAGCCAATTCTAAATGTCTCCAAAACTCTGTTTGAACTCCTGCCTTTGGGTACCTCTGCACGGCCTCTTCCAGTGTACATAGGTTTGTGAAACTGACACATATTATTCTTTATTAAGTTTGGCATTTATGACCTTAGCAGAGTCTGCATTATTTTGGGAGTGGGTCTATCAGTTAAGACGCCACTTGGGATACCTACATTTCATTTCAGAGTGCCTGGTTCAAGTCCTGCCTCCACTCCCATTTCAGCTTCCTGCTAATCTACATCCTAGAAGGCAGCAGTGATATCTCAAATGGCTGGATTTCTGTCACACAGTTGGGAACTAGGAATGAGTTCTGGCTGCCTGGCGTCAACGTGGACCGAGCTCCGTTGCTGCGGGCAGTTGGGGAGTGAACCAGAGGACAGAAGATTTTTCTATTTCAAATACATAGAATATAAATTTTAAAAATAAAATTTCATAAAACTGCCGGTACCCAAGCACAATTAAATTGTGACTGTTATTTAATTAGTCTTTTTTCTTTTAATTCAAAGCCATGTTCATTTTGATTCATCAAACTGCATCATTGTCACCAGTGACTTATGTGAGGGTCCTTTGCAAAGTTCATGGCAGTTGTGTATTATGAAAAACTATGCCTGGATACAAACAGGGAGGTTGCACTAAAATAAAATTTAAAACTTTTACTCCCAATTTCCCATGGACTTCTTAAAGGTATTTTCATACAAAAAGAACCGTTTTGAGAGAGACCCAAAGACAAGTTCCATAATGGTTCACACATGACAATGAGAAGGACCATCTACTATCAATCCCTAAAAATGCTTCCATTACAATCCCAAGGATGAAGTAGCTGCTTGTGGGTCCAGTACAATGGCTCGGTGGCTAAATCCTTGTCTTGCACACACCAGGATCCCATATGGACACTGGTTAGTGTCCCGGCTGCTTCACTTCCCTTCCAGCTCAATGCTTGTGGCCCAGGAAAGCAGTAGAGCACAGCTCAAGCCTATAGGATCTTGTACCAGCATGGGAGACAGGAAGAAGCTTGGCTCCTGGCTTCAGATCGGCACAGCTCTGGCCATGGTGGCTACTTGGGGAATATACTAGCTGATGGAAGATCTGTCTCTTTCTCTCTGTAGATCTGCCTTTCCAATAAAAATAAATAAATCTCTTTTTTTTTAAAAAAAAAGAAATAGCTACTTATAATTTCAGACTCTCTATTTCCATTTACCTCCTGCCTCAAGTGTGACTCCTGGCTCCCTCTCTTCTGACTGCTCCTATGCAATATCATGGCCAGCTGCCTAGACACTCACATCCATGACCTTCCACAGACACTGCTGCCTTCCTTTACTCTGTGAGCCTCACAGCTCATTCACTCTCACAGCTTTGATGGACATCTTGTGACAGCCCCAATTCAAAGTGGTGTCACTTGTATCAGGCCCTCAAAATCTACAGGAATCTCAGAGCAATGAGAAAAACAAATGTTCAGTTAGGGGCAGATATGCATAGCCAGGATAGTAAAAAGATATCTACTGTCTATTTAAAAACGTGGCTAACTGTAAAACTGACTTCTGTAAACTACACTTGCTTGCCTGGGAAATTCCCCTTGAGCTGTGCTTGTTATTAACCAGGGTGTGTGGTTTTTGATGGGATGTTTTATACTGCGCATCAGTTACAATGATTGGACAATTTATCTTGCATGCCAATGCAGCTTTAGTTAATTGAACGATTGTTGTTTAAAATCTCCTGACATCTGCCAGCCAGGGCTGCTCCTTTCTTCTACCTTTGGTGGTGCAGGACAGTCCGCTGGCTGGTGAATAAAGACTCCCGAGCCTAAGAGTCTGCCTCCGGACTCAGTTTTTAGATAGAACTGGTCAGTTTTCAACTTTGTGAAAGGAATCTTAAATCAATGATACCTGCGGCAACTTCTGCAAGCTTCAGACTTTGATCTGTGGCTGCCTACTGAGTGTGTCAATCTCAAGTCTGGCATGTTCCAAGCAGATCTTGCGCTCTCAGCTTTTCTGCCAGACCCTGAAGCCTTCTGCTTGTCCTCAAATCCTCTCTCAGTAAAACAGCAGCAGTACCAATGTCCTACCTCGTTCTGGCCATAGAATCCAATTCATTGCCCAGCAAAGAGTTTTGTTAATCCCTCCCCTCCCCTGTCTTGTTGCTACCACCACTCCAAGCCTTCAGTACTGCCTCCCTGTAGTAAAATGACCTCTTGTTATTTAAAAACATTTTTTTTTGGAAAGGCAGATTTATAGAGAGGAGAGACAGAGAGAAAGATAGCCCATCTGCTGGTTCACTTCTGAAATGGCCATAATGGCCAGGGCTGAGTTGATCCAAAGCCAGCAGCCAGGAGCTTCTTCCAGGTCTCTCACACGGGTGCAGGGTCCCAAGGCTTTGGGCCATCTTCAGCTGTTTTCTCAGGCCACAAGCAGGAAGCTGAAAGGGAAGAGCAGCTGGGATACAAACCGGCACCCATATGGGACCCCAGCACACACAAGGTGAGGACTTTAGCCACTAGGCCACTGCACTGGGCCCAAAATTACTCTTTTTATAATAGTGTTTGCACTGGCAAAATAATTTTATTCTAATAACATTTAAACTGGGAATAAATAAAAGCAATTTGAATTTCAATCAGTAGAGCAGTAGTTGACTAAATCATGGGATGCCCAGCCTAAGGAACTGGTATTCAGGAGAATGGGTTAACTGACCTATAAGCCAAAGGGCTGACTGCAATGCAGCATCAGTGTAAAGAACAGATGCCACAGAAGGAGAAGTCTCAACATTGCTGCATTTAGAACAGTTTACCTGTGATTTGGAGAACATTAGAACTTGAGTTCACACAGAGATATTGGTTCTCTTAGGAGGATGAGGAACTAAGATTTTTTCTATAGACATATTTTTTCCATTCACTTAAAAGGCAGAATGAAAGAGAGGCTAAGGGAGACAGGAAAAGAAAGAGATCTTCCATTCCTTTTCTGGGTCACTCC